GCTGCAGGGCAGGGCAGGGCGGTCTCCCGCCAGCGACCTGCGAACAAGGCCTGGGAAGGGCCTGGGCCGCACCCGCACCCCGCCCGCAACCTGGAAGGGAGAGCGGCCTGCGTTTTAGACTGGAAAAGCCCCTCTGTGCTCCCTGCGGGCCGTGCCGACCTGCGCCGCCTTGGAGCCAGGGACACCTCTGCTACGACGCAGGCGGGAGAAAGCAAAGGTGTCCTTCCCGCTGCATTCCCACCTGTGCGCAGTCTGGGTAAATCGCCCAGGACAGGCCACCTTCTCACCCGTCCTGTTCCTACTCTGGCGGCAGGGTGATCACGGCTCTGAGGGGAGCGTCCACCAAACTCGGTTGTGTCAGCCGAGCTTCACTCTGTTCAGGTCAACGAGAAGTCCAGCGTGATGGGACTCGGAACGCCGGAACCATCCCGCGGAGCTCGGGGAGGTCAGACTTCACCGGGCCCACCCCAGGGTGGCGCTCCCGGCCTCGTGACTGCGCGGACCTGCTCAGCCAGGCTGCCCCAGGCCCTGCCCTCACTGCCAGGCCGACTTCTGACCTGGGGTGACTGAAGATTCTGTCCCGCCAGGCTCTCCCGCAGCTCTTTCCAGACCCTCCAAACTGGAGGCTGTGGCCGGCGGGTTGGAGGTGCTGGGCTTGCCAGGACTGCATTGAATGATGAGGAACTCTCTTGGGCTGCCCTTCAAACGTATCACGTAGTTCTTTATTTTAAAGGATTTTTTATTATAACACAGATGGACAGATTTGACGTGGCTGGTAGGACATGCAGATGATAGAAACATTTCTCTTGAAAGGGAATTGTTAGTGTTTCTCTAACATGAACACTAACAGGGCCTCAAGGAGGTCCCGAAATGACAGACTTAACACAGCTGCAGCTCAAAAAGATGGAAGGAGAAGCTTCTGGACAGGGCCTGGGTTAAAGATTTGAAATCAGGCAGAACTGGGTTCAAATCCTGACTCAACTTCTTCGGACCTCAGGAAAGTTATTTGATCCATCTGAGGCACTCTTTTCTGCGTTGCTCCTCATCTTACCTTGTCTGGCTCAAAGTGTTTTGTACTTCATGTTCTTGTCAGAAGGAAAGACCACAGTGAGAACTGGAATTTATGGTAATTATAGTCATCAAAGTTAATTGAGCACACTGTCCAGAACCTCGTATTAATTTCATTTAATCCTAGAGCACTTTTATTTGGTAGGTATTGCTATGATTCACATTTTACTAGTGAGGAAATACAGGCTTAGGGAGGTTGACATAGACTGGGAGTGCTCTTTCTAAAACATAAGACTGATTATGTTCAGCCTTTGTTTAAAACCCAATGCTGGATTTATCTTCGGGATGCAATAACATTCTCTAGCACAGCCGTAGGACCCTCCCTGGCGTGACCCTCCGCGACTCGGTGTCTGACTGGCATCTCCTTTCTGACTTCCCCAGGGGCAGGGCCCCTCTGACCCGCTGCCCGTCACCCTTCCCGGGCCTTCCAGAGGCTCCCTGAGCTCTGCGTGTGCCCTTCTCCCTCTGCGTTGCGTTCCTCCTGTGCCCGGCTAACTCTCTCACAGGATGCAGTGTCTTCTCGTGCGGAGGTGACCCCTGAGCATAGCTGCTGAGTCTGCCTCTACCGAGAGTAGTAAATACCAGCTCAGTTGTCTGTCCCCACACCTATGAAGTAGCAAGTTGGTGGTGAAGAAACAAAGGCAAGTCTGCCTCTACCGAGAGTAGTAAATACCAGCTCAGTTGTCTGTCCCCACACCTATGAAGTAGCAAGTTGGTGGTGAAGAAACAAAGGCAACGTGTCTTTTACTTTGAATCCTCAAACTTGGCGCAGTTCTTGGTACATAGTGGGTGGTCAAAAATGTTTGCTGAGTAATTAAATTTTAAACATAAACAAGTGACAGGGAGGCCAGTTTGATAGTGCTGTTTATAGGTAGCCTCTCCACATCTTCAAAAGGCAAAGTATCATAATTTAACAAATCTGTAGCCTACAAAATCAGCATTAGCAACAGCAGTGATAGCGTTATATTAACCGCTTGCTGTTGACTAGCCACGTGCGAAGCACTGTACATGTATTTCGTTCACTTCTTGTAACAAGCAAGTTATGTCCATATTGTATTAGATATCACTGCCTCCACTTTTCGGAGAAGGAAGAGGTTGAGAGACAAAGTCATTGAGCTTCCGCTGGCGGAGCTGCCCGGGCCGTCGCTGCAAGGCCCAGGTGCTTCCATCAGGAGTGACCGATGAAGTATTTGGAGGTATCGACGGGGAAGGCTGTGGTCAATTACATTGGGAGAGACACTATGTCCGGTTGTGGTGGCCGTTAGAGGTTCTGGAAGTCATGTGATGAAAACCTGCTCCCGTTTGAGCCCAGCACCCCCTGGCTGCTGCAGCACTTTTGGTGGGGGACACATGTTCACATGCCTCAGGTCGCTGGAAGTAGCTGGAGAGACGCTGCCTTGCAAGTTGGCTGGTGACCCCCCTCCCCTTTCAGATCTCCTGGCACCCCAAACAATGCTTTCATCACGTCACTTCTCTCTCTCAGTCCATAGGTCTCCCGTTCCAAGGCTAACTCCTCAGAGACAGCTCTTTCTTCTGCCCTTTGCCTGGTTCTCTCCAGTGTAGCTCCTCTACAGGGAATCTAGGATCGCCTCTCCCTACCCTGTCCTTTAGCTTCATTTTGGAAATATTGATGAACTCTACAAAATTGTTCTTGAAAGGTGCAAGGCAATGACTCGGGAAGACTTACATCGTACTTTATGCTGCCCCCACTCTTCTCCCTGCCATCTGGCTCAGGATGGTTTTATTTTATTTCCTTGGTGCCAAACAAGGTACAAAGGTATCAAACTTAGGACTTTGCACATGCCAAGGCAGGCAGCAGAATCACTGAGCTAAATCCCTGGGCCCTCTCAATCTTTTTAAAGTCAGGAACTTCATTGAGAATGTAAGCAACAGATCCTCTTGGGAGGGGGTGCTCATATAGGTAATACTTAAATTAATTATAATGTCAGGAAGAGTCATATACCCCCCCAAAGACCACTCAAAGACTGGGTTATGAACCCCCGAGGAAGTCCAGCATTCTCACTCATAGCTTGGGAACAGGATGCTGGAGGGTTCATGTTATCATCTGGACAGCTAGCGAGTGCAAGCAGGATTTGTACCCAGGTTAACTCATTAAGCCTGGATCTACTTTTAAGGTTTCTAATGAGGAAAACTGTATCTTACTGCATACCACGATACATCAAGAATGCAATGTGGATCCCATGTCATTTAATGTAGTGTTGGCTTTAGCAGAATTCCTTAAACTGATGACACTAGTGCTGACCACTAGTGGTTGACACAATTCAAGAAAAGTCATTAAATGATAATATAAAAATAAAGAGTAAAACACTCTGCAATCAAGAAAGAATGACAGTACCATCACCAAAAGCAACACCAAGACACAGGAACATCCTCCCAGCCAAGTAAGATAATCAAAGATGGGTAAAGACAAGTTTCAGTCTTGCTTGGCTGAGTATTTGAAATGAGGCCCATAATGTTGTCAGCGTGAAAGTCCACAGGAAGGGCTGTTCCAGTTGAAAACTGAGAAAATGAAAACTCATGTAACTTCCACTTTCACCAAGGTCTTTGAAAAATGGGGCTTTTTTTTTTTTGCAATAATCGTATATGAGGTAATATATTTAACACAAAGAAGAGAAAAATAGCAATTCTTTCAGCATAAAAATCTGTTTAAAATATTCAGGCTATTAACTTTTTCTCCATGTCTTTGTTGCTATAACTAAAGTATACAGACATCATACTGATTTTGATCATTTATTCACTTACCAAAAAGGAAATATAGATGATCAAAAATTTGAATTGACTTGCAAATCCACCAAAACCTCTATGTCTAAGTCATAGACAAAAGTGGTACATGTTATCTTCAGATTAGTGTGACCAGTTGTTTTGATTTCCCAGGACTGTGTCATGCAGCACAGATTGTCCCCAGTCCCAGGCCAACCAGGTCAGCTTAACTCAAACCACAGTAGTAACACCGTCGAACAGTCTTGTCCTCTAAAAACTCTCCCTGTAGACAGCTTCTGCACAATAAATTGTGTTAATTAAAGAAAGAAAGAAAAAATTAAGTTGGCTATTTCACAGTACAGACCAAGCTGGTTGTTTTATTTTATATTTTAATTTTGAGATTTAGCTTTCATCCTTATGTAGAAGGGAAATCAATTTTTAAAAAATTTGGTAGAAACCAATCATCCATTATGTATCAGTCACAGTGGACAACAAATTTCTACTCTGTTCACATGTTGCAGTAATTATGACCCCATTAAACATAGCATCAGACAAATGAAATAGAATAAA